ATCACACCTGGCCCGGTTGCGGGACGGAACACGCATGGTTCATCCTTTACAATCTTCCCAAAAGATCGCACAGACGGCAAAAGTTAAGAGAAGCGACAAGTTATCAGTAATTATTAGGACGTATGAAGGGGTGGTCATATATGGCTTGTGAGACGTTATGATGTAGTCTTCACTTTCACACATAATTCCAACCTGTGAGTTGGTTTGGAATGCGACCGGCCGTCAGTAATAATTATGTCAGGAAGGACTAGGTTGCTCCGTTCAGTCTTGGTGGCATTAGGTGTCAATTCATATTATGGAATAATGTACGCAGAACATTACTCCCTCGAAGGATTGGAAGAAAAAGAAATAGACGATTTAATTAATCACTAAAAACACACGACCACAGCTCCACCGTCAGTTTTGGCAAGGTTCGCCATGGGCTCCATATAAGGATGAGAGCAGGGACCGTGACTTGTGTGTGAAGTGGTTTTAGTAATAATAGACTTTTGCAGAACCCAGTGCACTCTACCCTCCTCCTCCCACATTTAGGTCCCGTATCGTGACATAGTTAAGACGACCGGAGGTGGGGAGGCCCCAGGTTGCTCCCATGGCGTAAACCCACACACAGACGTATCACAACGCCCACGTTCCACCAAGTATATGGATCAGTTCCTTGCGCATAATAAGAGAAGAGGCGGGCCGGTCGGATCCCACTGATTCAATGTGCCATAGTGACCACATTAATTATAAATCATTGCAACCTCTGTCCTTAATTCCACACAAAAATACACTGGGTTGACTGCGAGGCCCGAGTGATCCCGTTAGTTGACGACCTTCCTAGCCACGGATTTTAGAGTGCGTCCGATTGCTTACAGCGAAAAGAATGCCCTGAGTCGCCAACCTCTACTCTCCATTTCCACCCCCAGGCCCTAAACACTGTCTGAGTCGGTCCGTCGTCTGGTGCGAGGAATGCGCACAGTGGTTGACAAATCTAGTGAGCTCGTCTACGCGTGCCACACACACGACCCACCCCCAAAAACACAAATTTCAGGATAATACACAAAACAGAGTGGGCAAAGTGCGTCTCACACGCGTGAGAGTGCTGGAGATCACGCTAGGAAGGAGCCACTGCAGCCTGACTCTCCGTTCACCAGTCGGTCACTCCGCACAAACACACACTGGGCTGACTACCTGGTATGGATGCCATCGCCAACGGGCAATCTTTTATGCCACAGCGCATAGCACACCGTAATAGTCACAGGCTCGGATTACACATGAAGCAGAGGAACTACATGGAAAAGGAGTCCAGACACGCACACACACGCAGAGGGAAGGTGCTTCGCTAACCTAGCGTTCAGACTGCTGGCACTCTGTGTGCTTTCCAAAGAAAATCGCACAAGATCCTAGGATCCTGGTAAGTTAAATGTCTACGTTTAGATGTTCGGTGTATGGTCGCGGCAGAAATTGGAGCAGACGTGCAGAAAACCCCACGTTTGTGTATATCTGGAAGAATCGGACTAGGTGTTCCACCACGGTCATACATTTAATCAAGGCAGCGGGAAGAGGCTTTGCGATCGACTCTGGGTAGGCCGTCCTCACAACGGTTAAGCGCATTACTGACTAGAATAAATCCGACACTCCAAATGTCGTGGCTTGGAAGGCTACCAGCTGATTTGGTAATCCGCTCCTCGTGGTCAATAATATGTGGGGTAACTGGCTCGAAGGCTGAGGTTCCGGATCAACAGCCCCTTCTTAATTCAGCCTCTATGCCAATTACACGGACGTAAGGTCCGAGCAGTTTCCTAATTTCTGAGAAAACTTGGTCCATCTTGCGTTAAACAGATCGTGTACGGTACGCGTGAACGGTCTGTTTATCCTTGTCAGTCAGTGCCGGCAGAAGCGGATAGGCGAGTTCCAGGAAGCGGTCCAAAAGATGATGATGACGGTGATGATAATGATGCGATCGCCGGAACCAGAACTTTATTGCTCTGACCTTTCGGGTCCTCAGTCAAACCCATTATCAAAGGCAGCGGCCGAAAAGGGTTTTAGAGGCATGGGGAGCGCAGTATTTATTCGGTGCAGTGGACCGACAGGCATGTGCCTACAATAATTAGTAGCACTCGCGTTTGATCGCTGGTGGTCGTATTCGATGCGATAATTGCTTCGCCGTCCGCGCTCGAATCGTTAATTGGCGTGATTTCTTCATCATTTTTGATTCGTGGAGCGACGATTACTCGGCAGTGCCGCAGACTGCCACCGGAACTGTTGGCCGCCCGTGCTCTCCCCGCGTGGCTAACTGTTTTGTCCAGACAAAATCGCAGTGCTGAATATGGAGTCGGGAAGTCATTGCTCGCGTTAAATAGATGCCAGCCCCTGCCCTCAGTCAGCCATCGGTCATCCTGACTTCGCTTTACCGCCAGACCCAGGTGAGTGAGGGAGGAGAGAGTGCGCTCTTGACGTATGGAGGTTTAATCTGAACGTAGGTACTACAAAAGATGGAAAACTGCCGTGCGCGATTCACAGACATCCTTCTTTGGTCAGAAATAGACATCAGTATTGATTCTGGGGTGAGAATTGTTTCGTGCTGATTTCGGCAAGAAGATAACTGAGTGCTCAGTTGACGACATGAAATATCGCCTGAACGGTGACATAATACGAGCTCGGCAGATCAGGTCGATGGTAGAAAAGTGGATCGCATATTAATTTCCCGTAGTTTGTCCTGCACGACAGTTCAACCGTGATTGCCGACGATGCCCACAGCGTGTTCCACGGCGAGCTAACAGCAGGTATGGTGATTTGCTCGTGATTTGGTTTATGGGGATAGTGGACTATCGATGCATCTATCGCACCTACTCCACCTGGGCCCAGTGTCAAGACAGAGTCAAGAAGACCAGAGGCGGTGAAGGGCGCAGGTGGATGGCACGGTAGAGTCCGCACCCTGGTGTTAAACTGCACACTCCCTGGTCCACAATAAGCATTTGACCGGGATTTTAATCAAAAACAACAATGCGGCTGGCGCAGAGGTCCCAATGTGTGCGACGCCTGCCGTCAGTTGGGTCTGTAACCGCAAACCGAGATGTTGTCATTTGACATGGTGCACATCCAGATAAAGCCTGTCAGTGCATCGATCATGTGTCCCCTTTGGGAGGACTCACCCTATACAACCACCAGGTAAATTCATGTCCATATCTGTTCGATATTAAGATGCAATTTTTAGGCGCCGTTAACCACCGCATTATTCCTCGATAGAACGAATCTTAGGGCCCATTAAAACCGGTTCAGTCAACGATTTGGAGAGAAGAACGTCCTTTAACAGATTAGGGGTACCTTTTATTTCTGTAAACTTAGTCTGAGAGCCTTAAAACACATCAAATTATCATCGAAACAGCCATTCTTTTGTGCGCTTTTGGTCTAGTTTATCCAGCACTGCTATTACCAAAAAACAAAAGTCAATCTCAAAAACTGGGTAAAATATATCTAAGAGGTTGTCAATGAAAAACTAACCCCAAGTCTGAGTTAGTGAGCTTAAGTGGACTACAAGACACTTTGAGAACAGCTGACTGTCCAGCGCCATTAGCTCAAGAGTGGAGTTGGTTGAATTGTATCGTGAAGATGTGTGCATGCTTCATGACGAATACCATCACCAACAAAACGGCTTGCTTCAATTAAATCAAGCAGATGCTATTTTTTGGGGACTCAAGTATTAAATTTGGACCCGACCGGAATGCAAGGATAAGCTCTGCTAAACACTGCTTTTTATGAGGGAAAATATTTTTTACCAGAACGTTTTTAGGCGCGATTTTAGATGTAACTGAAGGCAGGTGAGTAACTTGCATTCGTATGATGGACTTACATTAGATGTATTACCTCATGAAATGTTCACCAAAATTCTGAAATGAATTTTTGATTCAGAAGGATTACTTAAGTGGTGTCATAGTGTTCAATACTGTGCAAAATAATTCCGGTATATCTCAGTCACACCGCGGTGCTAGGCCTGAAAAGAGCTTCTTCCCCGTAATATGCAAAAATTACACTCTGTAAAAAGAGGTTGCTTAGGTAGCCCGCGGTTCTCCATTGACTTCTGATAAATAAATTTAAATATGCTTTACGGAACATGCACGTAACATGTTGTGCTTTTAACCACTGTGCTGTCAATTACGTCTTCTCCAAACGTTTTGCCCAAAAGGGTAGCTTTCGACTCTGAAGGATCTATTTCAGCTTCCGAATAATCTTAAAAATGACATGCACGTGTGCTTAAGGTATGCAGACCACACTTTGTGGGTTCTTCATGTAAGAAAAGATATTAATTATTCTACGCAATTAAGAAGTCATAAAAAGCTCGCAAAACTTCGCAATGGGTGTTAACTATATCACACTCTTTATGAGCAGCAGTAATAAATGGACAGATACGATACTCTTTAAATTAACATTTTACAGCCTGAAAAATCGCATAATCAGAAACCTCTTAAAACAGAAAGCTTGCCCATTTCTTGAGTGCGAAATCTGAATAAGACCTAAGTCGTAGATGCTCTTTTTGTGCACTTTTTTTAAATAAATCTATTTGAATTCATAATGGCACCAAGAGTCAGTGAAAAATGTCGTGATACTTAAGTAGCCAATTTTCACTGTGTGGTTTTTGCGAGCGACTGGAGAGAGACTTGCTCGAAATCCGGCTTTTTGAAACGACTAAAATATTTAGGTATTATGACACACGATAATTAATATTAGCAAACTACTATAGTAATCTTCTCAAATCCAAAGCCTGTTTCAGATTTCCGGTTAGCATTTCATGAGATAGCAGGTCTTAATGCAGTGCGCTGGCCATCTTTCCCATTGCTACCCGACCGAAACCTCTTCCAAACAATCTAAACGTTTCAATAGTGTATCTCACCATAGCCATCCAATAGATTTGGAGATTTTCAACTTTTATCAAGCAGCCAAACTTGTTGGACTCTTGCAAAGCCTGGCATGATACATCATTTCTCCGTATATTGTACACTTGCAGAAAGTGCGTTTTCTCATTGTTCAGCATTAATTTGGCTCCGTTCACGCGGTACCAAATGTATGCATTCAACTGGTCTTCGATGGCGACGCCTGAAATATGGAGAGGAAGTCAATTAAAGCACGCGTCATTTAGAATATTGTACAAGCGCCTGTCCGACTTTTTTATGTCCAAAATAACGAGGCGAAAAAAAATCAGCAATAAATGTTATGCCCCACCTGCAAGATGCAGCCCGACTCATTAAACACTCATTTAAATAAGAAGAGTTCGCTTGTAGCGCTCCTAAGATCAATTATTACCCCGCATGAATGCGTATCAAAGAGGCCACAGCAAGTTTATCTGGTGAGGATTACTGATGGTCCATTGTTAGACTACTGCGTACAAGAGGCTCTACATGGGGGCTGGAGACAGCGCCGTATTCGATGTCGCAATCACCGCAGAGAGCAATGCTTCTGCACGGGTTTGGGTATCCCAGATAACGGTTGTGTTCTGGAGATCGGAAACCGTATTGAATAACGGCCTAATGCAAAGGGACGACTTTGATCTTGCGCGGAACAGTCAAGACAAGCCGGCAGTCAAGATGCACAAACGAAATCAGGCAACCAATCAGCGTGTACTGCAGCATCGAACACGTTTGCCGCCTTTGCTCTCTCGTGCGGCCCAATCAGTAGCCAGTCGAACATTCGAGATCTTTCCTCGAGGGAATTCTCGCGCACGTAGCGGCCAATCCACGACCGACGAGCAATGGGCTGGAATGACATATAACGCGCTCCACGATTGGCGTTCCATAGGTTGAAATGTTCCAGAATGCCCAGGGCCCCAAATAAATAAGGCATCTTTTGACGAATCGGAAACCGTGTGTTCGCAGGCTGTAAGGGTAAATTTGGTTGTCCCAGAACACGGTAGGCCTCTCTTCTGTCCACCCTACTCTACAAGTTATCAGAGTGTGGGTCTCGTGACTCAACTAGTAGGTCAACAAGCTGTATGGCCAACTGCTCATGGGCTCGGCTTTCAGATCTTCCCCGCCTGCGGCTCAGAACGCTGTCGATTTTAGGTGCGTAAATAGAGCTAAATCTAAGTGTCACTGTCTACTTTGTCTTTACTAAGACCATGAAAAAGCACGCCTTACCTGACCGAAGAACGGATTTTGCTTGAACCTTTCCGCCAATATAACAGTAGTACGCGGTGGATTCGTTCGGCGGGTTGTCAACAGCAAGCGAATACTGGAAAGAATGGTCTTGTCCACGGATACCTGTTGTAAAGAAGGAAAGCATTACTGCTAACTAAGTCTTCTACATGTAGAAAAAATTTCACTTCACGCAGGCAGACCAGATTTTTCCCCGGCATTTTTATGGATTTCGCAAAATCTCCATTCTTTCAATCATTCAACAGGCAATAGAGTTAAAAACCAAAACCTATTTCTCATACGTGGTAGGATGAGTGAGGATAATTTATTTGCAATTCCCTATGAATGGCTCCCGCCTGGAAGTTCAACAATGCGGCAGACAGAAGTTTTCTCTTTGCTAGATTAATTTTATCACAATCTACCTGGGTGGGGCTGGCGACGAGAGAAACAAAAGGCAACTCTCTTTCGAAGGCAAGCCTAGTTTTAGCGCTTTCACATGTCTCATGCTGTTGCAACAAGCAGGCAAGTCAGGGCGCCCGGTGATACAAGTCGACGCAGTTGCTACCATGGCTCTTAATGTTGGAAAATAGGACCCCTCGTTCTTCAGATAGCGGTCACTTAGATGACCCAAAGCCAGCATTCAGCATACTTGTTCGGTGACACGCAATCGAACTTAGTGTTAATTGGGAATCAGGCTATATGTGGGGAGCGAAACCCGACCTATGCAAACACAGCTAGACCAGCTAGACTTGCCCTAGTACTCATCAGTCTTTTGATTTACGAAACATTTGCTTTGTTGGATTTCACAGCCGAAACTTTTAGCCGAATCGGATTTCTCTAATGAGAAAAATTCAAACTGATCGCTGACTTCGCCAAGGTTTTCCTTTTCTCTCTCCAAAACTTATATCAACAGTTTTAAGTAAGGTCGACTGAAGTAGACATTAATCCCAGTATTTGAGACAACGGAAAACCTCCGTCTGGTTAGTTTCAAATTGCAGCAGAGCCTGTCTGGGTCGCTTCAGGCTCAGGTGTGACCCCATTCAGCTATTTCAAACTTTCGGCTACTTCATAGTCTAGCCGATTTCGTAGTCACTGTCTTAAACTGACGACAACTCGACCGTCGTGCTCGACGACGTCCACTGTGTGCTCCACAGCAGGGAGAGGCAGGCACGTTGACTTGCGACTGAATTAGTTTATAGTAAGGGTAGATTTGCGCGGTATCTACCGTCCTCACTCCTCTCCCCCCTCCCCGAGCCCGCTGTCAGGATATAGGCAAGGAGACCGGAAGTGAGGGAGGGCGCAGGTGGATAGCACGGCCAGACGCACACCTAGGCGTACCACCACACCCCCTGGTCAACAACAAACACCTGCCAAGGATTTTGACCAACAACAACAGTACCACAAGGGGTCAGAGAGAGGAGTATGGCTGGGCAACCATGTTCGCGATCTCTATACACAGCAGGAGCGCAAGCGCATCTACCGGCTGGAAGCCAAGTGCCAGAGAACTGCCAGCCCACACCAGGCTGTGCGGACATGGTTTGCCGATCATTGCATAGCAGATGCTTACATTCCACGAGGCCTGGAAGGATTACACACAACCTTGCACTTAGCCTGGACCATCACCCTCCAAGGGCTGGTCAACCAGTCAGTCGTCGACTGAGAGGCATTACCCATATGCACACACACACACACACTCCTCACGTGCGTTTGAGTCTCAAGATTTCGAGTTCAGTGACTCGAAATCAAGCATAAGCAAGAGAGCCGCCATGCATGACGGAGTGATCACTGAAACGGTGTACTGCGTACATTTGTCTGACTTTGGGGTCCGGTTAAGCTGCCTGAAATTGTACAGAGCAGGAAACTGACAGCAGTCTGAGTGGGTTATCCTCAGCTGAAAACATTTAGGCACTTTTCCTCACGGGCGTGCATGCTCCGCGGTGCTGCTTCTTTGTGAATGGGCAAATAAGGCTCACTGAAATAGGCTTCAGCGCTTTACGATGTCCTCGAGGTTCGGACTTTCACATGGGCAACATGTAACCCGCATCGCTCCAGCAAACAAACAGGTGAGTGACCAAGCAATTTTAAGACGTCAGTTAGGTTGCGTAGCTTTTAACTGCCTCAATTTTGTTCCTGAAAATCACTAAGCGAGTTTCCATTGCCATTTGCTAGTCCTTTTACCTTTTATCTGCGGGCAGTTACAAGGATGCTCTTAAGAAAATAATTTCATCCATTCGTTCTGCCACCCATGACATACAATCAGCGGTGGCGCATAGTAATCATTCTCAGATGACGTAAATGCTCCCCACCCCCCTCCCCAATGTCTCAGATTTCGCTGCGTGGCATCAGGCTTTAGAATGTGCATATGTTACCAAAAGCATGGATAATATACTTACTGCATCGTCCGGGATCATTTGCCGAAGTAACGCCGGAGCAAATAAGGTGGTTGTTGTCGAGGCATACGAAGGGCTGAAAGAGATTTTTATGAATTATTTACACACTTTGCAAATGGGGTTCAAACAATGCAGTTGTGCAGAACACGAGGCTGTTGACTGAATCTGACTTCATAAAGGCAGATCCGGAGGCCTTCCTTACGCATTTTGTCCGCTATACTGCTACTGCTTCTGCCGCGGCCGCTGACACAAACTTCGCCGTACCTAACAGTTTTACTCTGAAGAAGCGAATTCGGTTATGATATGTAAATGAACTAGAAGAGGAAGGGGTGGAAAGAATGCGTTCTTATTCCGAGGCTACGAGAGAATTAGCGAAATACTACCGAATGACAGTGGACCAGGACAAGCGAAACTCCCTAATTTCTTAACTGTCGTGACACACAAAAAACCTAAAACGCGCTACCAAGGCCATGTATATGACATTGAAACGTCAGTTGCATACTTGAAAACATGAGAAAATATTTTAAAAACGGACGTAAACGGCAGAGCTTCCTGGTACTATTATGTACGGTATATAATTTTACCAAATGCAACCGGCTGTTTTACAAAACTGACCATGAGTAAGAAACATGCGGAAAATTAAATATGATAGAAAATCAATGAGAAAACAGCACACAGTTTGATCAGTAAAAACAGTAACTTAACAAAACTATAGAGGAAGAGGAAAGTAACGCTAACAGGCAAAATGTACAATTCCAAGTACTGGAGGTTACTCGGTTAAATTAGGGTTGAACACATTTCTTAGCTGTTGGAATAGGTCGGGTCTCTCTATTTATGCGCAGGCCGCTTCCAGGTAGTGCAATACCAGAGTTATTCACGTCCGAACAAGTACTCGGTATGCTGTTGTAGGGTTATTAGAGTAACTGCTCTCAAGGAGGTGTTGTGTAATGAAATAATTCGAAGTTTTATTTTTCCACTTTGAAAGTCATTTAAGCAACCACTCAAATGGCCGGGCTACCAATTGACTTTGCTTTCGTCTAATGTGTCTGCAACAGCAATTACATGTAAATCCATAAACGTAATTTGTGACATCTTTCATCCCTTGAACCCAAATGGTCTTAGTACGACTTTTGAATATGGGTTTGCCTGAATTTCAATCCTCTCTGGATGAGAGTTGAAATTTTGTTGACTTTCGACAGTAAGGAGGTTACCAAAAGTTTTTACAGAACTGACTGTTCCGTCATTCTTAGTCGCAGAAAGTTGCTGTACTTTTGAACCAACGTGCTGGATCTTCAATTTTACCCAGGGTTTCTCTCGAACAGGCAACTTTCCTGTCCAGTGTCTCAATGGAGCAAATTATCCCCGCTGTTTCACTAGTTTCACCCGTAGGCTTACAAGGTACTTTACGTTTTCTCAAGCGGTTTTAAGAAGGTACATTTAATTTTTACTGTTTTCACATAGGCAGTGGAGGAAACAATGTATGCAATAGACGAAATTCGTTTGCCTGGAAGAGGCGATCCAACTTGATTGCTGAAATCCCTAGCCATTGTCCGTTTGTTTACTGTAGCCCAGCCGAAGTGCCTCGCCTCATATCAACATAAATCAAATAATTTTGAGCACTGGTAGAGATGCACTTACCGATCGTTTTTATGGAACTCACTCGTCCCATTGTGCCTTTCGGGTTCTCTCTCTCGAGCCCAACCAGCAGCCGCACAGCGGCTCATGATAAAGGCAGAATGGTATTACCGACAAAAACAAGGGAGACTGGAATGGCTACTATGACCACGTATTGGTCACTTTTAGCGCATACACAGGTTTGCTTTTGCCATCAGAAGTGGTTGAACATTTTGGATAGTAATTGATTTTGGAAGTTGAAATGCAAATTGCACTCTGAGTTTATGATGCCATTCTGGACGTCGGATGTGTTGGGGGTAATTCCAAATCAGTGCAACGAGTTTACGCACGATAAGCACACTTTTCAGTCCAACCTTTCATTTGCCTTGAGACCCATTTGCAGTCCAGACAAACAAGCAAATGCATTAAAGAGACAAATTTAATTTTGGTATGGCTTCTTAGGTTACCTATGACACATCTTAAAAGCCCAGGCTGTTTCGCAACAATTTCGCTTGTTGGTTCTCGAAAAACAGGTTATATTGTTTACACGAATAGGCTCCTATCCAAAACAATACGGAGATACGTCCGGCATGGCTGAGCAAAGGAGGAATCAGGAACATAAGCAGTGTCATTCTTGTAGATTTCGTGGATAGCGGGCATCTCCTCAGCCCCCACAAAGCTTTTTTGTTTTTTATAAGGTCTCAAACACCTATTCTAAGCCATTGCGTCAGCTTCTGTTATCAACAAAAAAGCTGTTGCCACCAGGCTTCGCAAATTGGTCTTGTATTCACAGAGGAACCTCGTGCAAGCACAATACTTACCACGGTCGAGGGCCGTTTAACCGCGTGCAGTTCTCCGCGCCCTACTCTCTGCATACCAATCACCACCACTCGACTGGTTTGATACTTATTGCTTCTTATTATTCCACTTATGTTCTCTGCGGCTGGCTTGTGTTAAAAGGTAGGCATCCACACTTAGAATTCCCTTATTTTCTACCTGTTTTACTTGACCCTGTTACCGTATAAATGTACTTACCTGGCGAAAATTTATCAAAAGCAAACGTATGCTTGCCAAATACTTTCTAAACTCCTTCTTCGGAAATCTTGAGGGCATAATTTTGATTACTCGCTGAACAGAAACCGATGGCTAATCTTGATTGAGTGATGATAGTTATAAACGCATTTCAGCGTCTAGCCATGTGACATTTTAAGAGAAAATGAAAGCCAGATTAGGTATTGAGTTGAATTTCGCTGTTTTTAATTATTATTCGACCATGGTATTTATAGACTTTTCACCTCAAATGCTAATTTCACCAGAATATACAAGTTACTATTTCTCAGCTACACAAATTTCACAGATAAGTTTATCCTCACCCCGAACCGGACATCTGCTGAGCCCTTAGACCCTCCATGCCGTTGTGGATACGGATTCTTTGGGGTGTCTTTTAGTTAGAAAATGTAAAATAAAATCCCCGACTGGTGCATAAAGGCACAACTCTCTCAAAAATACCCGCGTGCAAACGCTCACCTTAGAGGTCACTGGTTCAGACGTTGAGACGTGCCACGTCAAGGTGTGCTGGCGATCGTTGCCAGCAATCGCGAGGGTATCCTTTGGGGAATTCTCATCCTCAACGAATTTCGCCGTGTCTTTAAAGGGAAATTTGCATAAACGTGCGAAAAGCACACTTTAAAATAGCATAAATCATATCAGAGAGTCTTTCCTTCAACTCAGACCATGCATCTTTGGATGGTCTTCCCAATCACTCTAAGTTGATAACTGGCGTCATTTGTCAAGCAGAGCATCATAGGTCTCAGTGCCACAGCATAGAGACCAAGCGATTTTAGTTTTTTAATGAGTGTGCCACTTTACCGCCTAGGCAAGTAATATATCTGAGCATTGTTGGTCAGTTTTTCGTTCTTAAATTAACAAAAGGGATCATGCGAAGTGAAATGTTTTCTATTCGATTGTTACAGACATTTGTAAAGTCGAAGCAAATTACTCACAGCAGGCTGCCAACAGACACGCAGATAGAAATGGCGTATGCAGAGAAAGAAAGGAACTGTTGAGATCTCCTTTTCATCCCAAATGGTGTAGCTGCGAAACTATTGGGGCCGTCTTCCGTTCCAGTACTTTGTCTATCTTACGTGTAACACCTAATACAATCCTATTATTCAATACCCTCTAAAATGTTAATGATAAAGGTTGTTGTTTTTTAATTTCCTCAGTCGAATCCCTCGCAGCCTTATCATACAGCGGCAGCATATCGGCAAAACACGCGTGTATGGGCTTTTGGTTATTTCCTGTGCTGCTAGTATGACATCTTGTAATCCTACCGATAAGACTCTTAGCACAGAATGTACACAACTGGCCTATATTCTGCTGAACGCTTTAACAACCTGAACTGTCCGATGGCTAGAAGTCGGTTTATTGCTCAAGCCACGGAAATGAGTGATTTACACATGCATAAAATCCGAGCCTCCAGGCGGCTATATGTGAATTCGGTTTTTAGCCTGCGTTTACATAAATTCTATAAGTCCGAGTATATCACGTTTCTAGTAGATAGATACCAGCTGCTGAACTGGGGCGTCGACGTCAGGTTTCGCTGATAATGAACGTACAATACGTGGCCGATATTCTGAAATGCGTTTTTGACTAGGAAGGATTAATAAGGTGGGGTTGTAATATTAATAATCATGTAGTATAATCCTATAATATTTCGCACTCGCCAAGATATCGACTTTTGAATGCGCTTCCTTCTGACCTCCCGCAGAAACCGTACTCGGTAAATGTGGCTGCTAACGTAGCATGCATTTTTCACATTGATTTTCAACGGTATTATAAATTCAAATACATTTTATGGAAGACATGCATAAAATATGCTTTTTTAATTGTTTGGTAGAAAGCCAAACTGCCTTTATATGTTACACCCTAGGGAAGGTTATCTTTTGGTTTTCAAAACGTTTCCAATTATAAAGGACAACGATAGGGTGAAGGATCCCAAACACACACGATCAGCCAAAGGTACCTGTGCTATGGGAAAGGTGGTACTAGAGTTTTTACGGGCGGGGCCTATGTATGCATAGAGGAAGGGCAAAATAAGTATGGATAATTGGTAAATTGGTTTTTCGGCCGGAAAAGTTTTAATGAATTGAAATATAGCAGCCGAAATTCAGCAGGATAATTAAAAAATAAAAATAAAGTGGCCACAACGATTGCATCTCAACTCTCTGAGCTGAAATAATTGTAGGTAGTGTCCCAGGCCGTCTAGAACAGACGACACAACCTCGCACGATGAAACACCAAACCGAAATAATTGTGTCATACTAAAATCGCCTTAAATAAGTTGGGTAGGTATCTTTGTAAGCCATAGATGCTTAAGATCCTTCACCCAATCCTTACCTTATAAGGTTTTCAAGACCGTGCGATGTCCATATATACAGGATCGGACGTGTTTGTTTACCAATGTTCCTCGTGAAGTGTGCAAAACAACCCGTACCCACTGCAAAATTTTATTAACTCTATTGAGTATCTTCTTAAAGGCATAAAGGAATGTATGATTTTTCTTATGCGGAACGCATGCAGCTTGCAGACTGAAACCGGTAAATATTAATGCAACGGCTGATCCGGCCCAAAATCATTCGGGGGTTGGGAAGCGTTTTCAAAACCCAAATATACGATGTGATTTTTTACCAATCAAGAAGAAGAAAGCGTGTTTTTGTACATGCTCTCTATAGAATACATTTGAATTTATAAGACTATCGAAAATCAACGTGCAAAATGCATACTATTCAAGTAACCCTTTTTTACCTAGTGTGGTTTCTGCAGGAGGTCGACAAAAAGTGCATTCAGAAGCCGACATCTTGGCGAGTCCGAAACACTATAGGATTGTGTCACATGATAATCAATGTTATAACCCTATCTGAGTAATCCTTCTTAATCGAAAACGCTTTTCAGAATTTCGACAAACATTTCATGAGCTCGGCCACGCACTTTACTGTGGTGGACATAAAGAGGGCATCGGTACTCAGATTTCGGCTGATACTCTTCGGTCAGTTTGGAATGTAAACTGCTCCCGGCTGTTATCATAGAGAAAAGCACCTTACACCATTGGAATGCCATGAAAATACCAATTTCACCTTTTCTGATGCCCAATTGTAATTATCGGTTTCTACGTGCCTTAGCGGACAAGAGCTAGTACACGCCGTAGCATCAGCAAAAACCCCGAGCAGCCTGGTGGCAATGTTTATATCCTGTCCAAAGTAACAGAATAATTAAAGAGGTCGCTGAATACTGTGAGGCTGGTTTGTTTTAAATTACCCTGCCAAACGACGAAGTAGTTTGCGGCTACCCAAGAGCGTCCGACATCAACTGAACAGTAGAGGGCCTCAAAGTTTTTCTTCGAGTGGCGCAGATTATAGGTAACTGTCACTTCATCTAAAGAACAAATGCGTGCAAAGGGAAGTTTCATTGTTTAATACTGCTAATCAGGATTCGCAAGTAATACACAGCGAAGCAGGAAACAAATAATAAGTTGTGAAAAGTGTTGGCCGATTGCTACCCACTTATTTCTGCTAGGAGAACATTTTCACTTCGTTATTCCCACCTGCTCACAGACATTGTCGTGCTTGGCTATAAAAATTAATTAATTCCTGACGAACACTCGGGTCTCACACACAGGAACTGCCTAATCCTGCTATTTAATACATCTGCTAATACAGTCTGAAGGGTTTAAATTAAAATTCTACCAGGTTGTTTTGGTTGCGGTAGGACGTATCCCACGGATCTCCTTAAAGAATGTTCACGCATTGGAAGACTCTTTTCTAAAAAGGCTTATGAGATTTAACTGGATGAACATTTTCGCACTAAGCCAATGCTAGATTTGAATTGTTAAAAAGTCCTTTAACCCAGCTTGCTTTTTAGTTTGCAAACGTTTTAAAATATCACTCGTTTGAGGGACGATCGGATTAATCTTTTCTTACTAGTCGTTTATGTCTGTAGATAGGCGGAATCCATGACTATGTACATATTGGCATGAAAAGTCAAAATGGCTCAGATTCTATTAGTATAAGCCGCAACTTTACAAAATAGTTCATGTGTAAAGACGTACGTGTGTCAGATGACATTGTAGGCCTCCAAATTCCTCCATCCGTGCATCGAATCTTTGCGGGGTGGCAGATAAAATTGTAAATCATATTTCCTGTAAGATATTTCTAAATAACAGTAGGTCTATATATATTTACTGGTCGACAGATTTTTAATCCGAATAAAGCAGACATTTAGGTTTTGAAAAAGTTTTTAATTATGAGGTTTTTAAGACCGTGCGTGTCCATATATACAGTATTGCACATGTTCGTTTATCAATGTTTCTCATGAGGTTTGCTACACATTCCGCATTCATTGCAAAATTTTATGAATTCTATAACCAATCTTCTTAAAGACATGGGGGAATGTATGATTTTCCTTACTCGGAAAGCATATGCCTTGATGAGTGGAATCGTTAAACGCTAATGCAACTGCTGATAAGGCTTGCAATTATTTGGGGCGACTTTTTCAAAAACTAACTTTACAGTTTTCTTCGGGTACAAAATCTGAAGAAAATGTGATTTTATGCCAAACGATTAAAATAAATCATGTTTTTGTGCATGGTTACTAGAAAATACATTTGAGTTTATAAGACTGTCGAAAATCGATGTGAAACGTTCATGCTACTTAAGAAGTCAATTTATGCCAAGTGTGGTTTCCGCGGGAGATCAAAAGGACGTGCGTCCAAAAACTGTCATCCTAGCGATTCCGAAATATTATAGGATTACGCCGCAAAATGACCAAAATTACGACCCTATCTAAGTAATCCTTACTAATCGAAGACGTATTTCATAATTTCGACCAACATTTCATGAGGTCGGTCACGCACTGTAGGTCTTCTATGCATATAACACGTGCTTAGTCTAAGATCCATCACTGGGCGAGCCACAGTTCCTATTACGACTTCCAGCAAAAGGCCAACTATAGTTGAACTTAAAGGAGTGGCTTTTGTTTGTTGACAACATAGTTTGGCGAAAGCATAGTTGGTCTTTATGCATTGATCTCGGCGTCGGCCTGAAGGAGTTCTTCGGTGCAGCATATCATTAGGCCTATAAAAATAAACACGAAAAACGACTCTGGCTCTATTTAATTTTTACAGATAGTAATTTGAATCTTCACTGCATGTGACTAGCGAAGTAGTTACTTTGAAATATTTTCGTTGGGTGCATCGGTTAGGGAGACTGTTGGTCACAGTTTTGTGAATTTCAGAAAGTCTATATGCCTTGGCAGCTGCAATTTTGCCTTGTTTCAAGGATTTGGCAAGATCTCTGCGAGTGATGTTCTTCCTGCAAGGCGTTTCATCGTCTTTTCAGTGTATGCGGTCTGTAATTTTGAAGGATCGGCAGTCCGAGGTACGTACTCTGGCGTGTCTGCCAAGAATGGCAGGATATTCTTTATGTAGTCGATCATGTTCAGGATGATAATTAAGCTTCCTTTGTCTGCGGGTGGAATGCGGATGTTTTTAAGTGAATTTAGTCCTTTTTTCATCAACGGACAGTGTTAGGAGCTTGTCTATGTTCCCCAAGTTTCACAATGCCCTATTTTGAATTTCAAATTGTCCTTTCTTTGTAAGATTGATTTGAGGACGGCAGGAAACTCTGAGTGATCAGAGTAGGATGAATTTAAATCGTTCCTTTCTTCGCACACTCGCCGAGGTTCCCGTAAGCAGTCTTCAGGATAGGTTTGCGACTCGCTTTGGATATGCAGAAAAAACGAAACATATTTCATAATTGGCTATACACCGCGTTACCTAAAACGTCGCTCTTTTCAGCCGTTCTTATTCTGTAACATGAGTAATGGTCTCGTGTGGGGAAAATGGTATGGGTTCGTCTTTGGATTCATCGAATTTACCAGATCCATAGTACGCGTCATTTATGAATATTCAGGGTATCTGCTGACCGTAACTGATCGCATTTTGATAGCCTTGACTTGAATTTGTCACATGCGCCATCCAAACAGACCTCGGTAGAATCGTGGATTTTTCGGTCTCGATAAAGGAAAGACGACTGTTTGCGTGCCAGAATTTCACGAATTGCAAATTATTCTCAGTATCAAATGGAATGCAAAACCTGCGTTCACAATTTCTGCGTATGTATTGTTACGTCCGAATACGTGTCCAAAACGCAAATCGGGTGACATTTTTATGCTAATTATGAAGTCTTCCTCTTCCTAACTCTAGTTAATACGGTCTCGTTTCTCATCCCCACTCTCGAAAAAAACAACTGTCAATTTTCTCCCTACAGAGTGATTTATTCCCAGAGTCTCGTATTCTTTCTTTATACCAACTCAGAATGCATAATATATAGTCTCTGCGTATCTAGAGCAGATCCTTTATACGTTTACCCTAGCGTTTTTCGTTGGTCTTTGGATTTTCCAGGAGAGTGTGACAGTCTCCTTGCTAACACAGCGAACAGTTGGTGCGTCCGATTCAAAGAAGCCTAAAATGGGAAAATGTATTAGCAAAAACCTGTGTGAATTTTCTTGACCCAACGAAATTATAGTCGGCTGTTTCTTATCTGATAAAGGGTAGGAAAAGCCCGCCATTTCATCATTCAGGTCGGTGCCTACATGAACAACCCCCGATAATCATATATTTTTCCGATAATTTGTCAATAAAAGTTTATACTTTTTAGCATTATACAATACAAATACGCGCTTCTCGTCATTGTATATTAGACATAAACAAGATTGCTATCCTTTGCTTATTTTCTAGCAAATCAAGGCATATCAGACTAGTCATTTATTTCCTACTTTCAAGCAAAGACGAGGAACTACGCGAATCCGATTAATGGGCACATCTGATGCCTTAACTCCTGACATTTGCTTACATTTGCTAAGAATCTCTAATTATTCTGGAATCGTTCCTAATGCATCGAGCAAATCTCTCTTATGTGAAATCAAAATTCAGAAGTATTAAAAGTAATGGTGCATCACTCAACAATAACTATTTCCTTAGAAAAGCTAGGAAATGCCGAAAACTCAAGAAATCCCATCAGATGAGTAAATTCAAGTTTCAGGATTACTTATAATCTGTCCAGAAAAATAACCGAATGCGCAAGACTGCCTGAGTAGAACAAAATTTAAAGAAGTGATCTTTTTGTCCGTAATTTTACACTTACCTCTCCTGCAAGAACTAATGCCGACCCAAAGCCCTTAGATCAGTCAGGCGCACTCCACATGTTTGACATACAGACACTGCTAACACCTTAACCCGAACCCCTCCTCCCCCTTGGTCTCCCACCCTTACCAGCTCTAACATCCCTAACACGCTGGCTCCGTCATTGAGTTGGCATTGAAACAACGAGTGTGACTAGCCCTTCCCCCCTCACTCCCGAGACACATATTAATCCTGTTCATAGCTCAAATGTTCATTATCTATGTACTATTAATTGCCTGGTGATTAATTATGGAAAACATATGTTTACCAATTGACTTTTCGAAATAAAATGTGTCGGTTAGCCAAGTAGATCGTAAAAAGGATCTTATCACAGGTTTAAAATTCAGAAAGGCCACTTTGTAGTGAATCTTCTCGCGGTTACTTATGGAATAAGCGCAAATGTTAGAAAAATATGCCGATGGCAAATTGCATAATTACTCATAGACATTATTACCACTTTTTAAAGCATATAACCGTAAAAAACGTGCAATCTAAATTGGGTAAGATGTGGTTTGGTAGCTCCACCTGATGGACACAATATTGTTCTGGTTGGAGCAAAGCGTTAGTTTGAGGGGTTATGATTAGGGGTTTGCGGTTAGCGTAACTATTTCTCAACCATTCAACGTACAACCGCGCATCCCAAATAGTTTTTATTTTGCAGACAACTACTTGACATCTCGGCCTGCGCGTTCCCGGGCCCCACATGTAAAAACCCTATTACCACCGGTCCCGTATTAGAGATGACTGGTTTTTGTTTCCTTCAGGTGGGGTTACATAACCACATCGGACCCTAAATTGTTAATCGAAAAAATGTATGCCTTTCTGAAAACAACGTTTATTCACATTCTTCCCTGTTAACTTACTTGACCGGAAAACACTTTCCAAGCGAGCAACCGTTCGTTTGTTAGAACTCTTTAAGTAAAATAACTCTTCCCTCATTGAGAAATACGCATGAATGTGCACACTTCCCCTGGGAAAACTTTCACCCTTTAGAGATTGCCTGAATACAGGGCGACGTTGATTTCCTCTCAAATGTGAATACATTTTGTCCAAAAAATACTTAAAAACAGATACCTCACGAGTAAAGACTGTTTTCCAGGCAATTAGGTTAACTGCCCATCGTTTCGGTTGCCCCAAAAGGATCATCTAGATTTCCGTCTTTACCTTTCCTAATATACGCCACTTATTACATAAATATGGCCTAGAGAGACTTGCCAATAATACTGGAAGGAGTTTGGGTCTTCGCACTTCATCGAAAGATTCCAGACTTGCAGGATGGACCTCTAATTAAACTCATGGCCGTTGCCATTACTAATGCTGCCACATCCTCTGAAACAAGTACTAAATAACTGGTGCCGGATAAGAGTTGATTTGGTGGAAGGAGTGGGCTACTTCCTGGGGCTTGCGTTTTCGCCTATATTGAAGTCAGACTTTTTTGTTTCATATGCACTTAGCTACTGAGGCTTCTGAAACCCTGCTAGCCATTTTGGGCACATAATCAAATTATTTTCCCCAGTTTTTTTTAAAAAAAGACGCTTACTATGCATACGAATTCACTTAATTCCAAACAATATTGTCCGAAGTTTTTCAAATGCAAAATATGGCTTAGGTATTTCTACAAAATTCAGTAGCTTAGAATACGGTCGTAGATCAAAATATACCCATAAGTTTGATGACGTCTAAAAAGACACATTTCAGCCGCTAGTCGAGATATCGCCAAAACCTGCCACACATGAGGTTTAGGGAATCAACTGACCTCAACTGATCAAAGATTTCGTTTTTTCTAGAAAGGACGTTCTTTCTCGTCTCCTTTCACAGATGTTTTGACTTCAGTATATCATGTGTTTCAGAAAAACGCATATTTTGATTTTAAAAAGTGACGGTGGTGTGACTTTATCTTAAAGGAAGACTTGTGTATTCACTGTTGAATACTCTCTTCAGACTATGTGTGATTTCTCAGAAACACATTGGACGAAACCCACATATTCCCATGAAGAGGCCTGAGGTTACTTACGGGATATTGCGACATTCGTGATATAGATTGTTTACCCTTTGGTCATTAATAATAAACTTCAGAACATTTTACTTCACAAAAGTGGATTTAAGTGCTTTAGAAATTCCTATGATTGAAAATCTTAAGAACAATCATTTATTTCTTCCCTCCAAGTACCACATTTATAAAGGCATAAATTTCCATGCGTACTGCAGATGTGCATCTCCTGGAATGTTAACAGAAATTCCGAAATATGTCTTCAACTAGAAAAGCTTATTTAAAAAACGTCATCTGATTAGTTATCGCACAAGATTAACACAAAATATCCCAGCTATATTAGGATGCCGGCAGTTGAACGAGCTTCTTTTCAGTGTCTTGCAAAAACGAAACTCGGTAAAAATGACCACGCAAGTTGCGCATGCTTTTGCCATTGATTTTCGATGCACTTACGCATTCAAATACATTAAACGAAAGTATGCGCAAAAATTTCCTTTTCTGAGTTTTTGGAGAACACTTAGTTGAAAGCAGCACACCTGGGCAGAAGCGACCATCCCCGCCTCCATAGTCTTCATTCGTTGTACAGGCTTCTACTTCCTTACTAGTCGTTACAGAGAGAGACTGGTTACAAAAACACCTTAAAACATTTGCCTAATGTTCTGCTTGACGCCTTAACCATAACGACTGACAGATGTCGGTTTAAAAGTAGATTCAAGTCACCTTTGATCTACTCAAAATACTAAGCAGCCTTTGTTTCCCCAATTTACTAGTAATACGTATTTTATCAAACTAGTAATGTGCACTTTTTATTACAAATTTCTTCTTACTTTGCACATTGAAGAAGTTGCCACTCCTGATTATGCTTCCGAGATGTGTCCTGCTGCCCTCCTTGGAAATGAAGTGGATCTTTTTGATTCCTTTAATTTCCGGAATTTGAAGGGTCAACCAGCAGAATTCGGGTTCTAAGTAACGTTAAGAAGAGGAAGGCAAATCAAAGCCCCATTTTTATAACAACGGTTTAACAATTAATTCAGAAGTAACATTTGAACTTTCCACATTTTTTGCTTCGATTAAGCTATTTGAATTAGCTTACCCTAAATACAGCTAGTGGCCTGTCTCACAAAATGCTAGCTGAAATTCTGAAATGCGTCTCCGATGGCGGACTGAGAAACCAGTCACGAAAATTCCCGCAAGAAACGCCATAACGTTTCCAAAGAATCTCAATTAATTTTAATTAGATTTCTCGGGACCCCGTATTCCATTATGCACCTCAATATTCCGAATGATAGAGAATACGCGCGGCCCAGGTAATTGCATAGAAGAAGACGGGAAGGCTATCGCTGGGACCAATGGTTTATTTATCCGACGTTTCGAACTCTCACGCGAGCCCATCGTCAAGGAATAAAAAACTGTACAGCTCGTCATGTATTTAGCTCACCTCTGCAGGGGGTGACCTCTAGCTGCGCTGTTGATTTGCTCACGCAGTGCTTGATAGGCGATTGGCAGATCGATATGTCGATTAATCGCGTCCTCAGTTGAGTGCCACGCTTCCTGCAGCAGTCGCGCAACTCGGTTGTCTGACTGTCCTAGTATTCTCACGCTCCCAAAGTCAAAGGCGTGTCCTGGCGAGGAGGCGTGGGCGGCTACCAAAGAGAGTTTATCCTTCCGTCTCACGGCCAATTCATGCTCATGCAATATCGTGCGGACCTGTTTTCCGGTTTCACCAACATAACTGGCCTGACCGCAATTGCAGTCTATCCGGTAAATGACCCCGATTTCTGATTTATGGGAATTGGATTCTTGGGCTGCATGAGTTGCCGGCGGATTGTGGCTTCAGGTCTGTGCGCGACGCCGATCCCAACTTCGCTCAGCAGTCTGGCGAATTCTTCTGACAAACCAGCTACGTACGGCACTTCGCGCCAGCACTTCGGTTTCGGCTGCCCCTTCGATTTTCCTCCCGGGGTTTCTCGCCTGCACTTTTCGACGAAATTCCCAGGGTAGCCGTTCATGGTGAAGAGTTTCCTCAGGAACTGGACCTCCGCCTTCTTGTCGGCTGGCTCTGTGCAATGGGTTTCTACCCGCAGTCGGATAAATAAACCATTGGTCCCAGCGATCGCCTTCCCGTACCTCAATATATAAACTTCAGAGTAGACTGCGCTTTACAGATGCGTCCTCAGTAGCATACGATAAAACCTAAATGCAAGAATTTTCTTCCAATATGCGCTCGTTGTGTCTGCATGTTTTCACATAGTCAGTTATCTGCTGATACCCGACCAAACATCCGTCCAACGTAGTACAAAAAAGCAGACTTGCAGCAACGATGGCATATTTGCAGTCTATTTTTCGGAACTTTTAATTTTCACATTTGAAACAACTTCTACTTTCACTGTTGGCTAGTTAGTTACAGTGCGTAGATTTTTGTTTTTGTTATTCAGACATATGCTTCAGCAAGGAAGCACTCAGCCATTGAACTGCATGTGAAAGTCACAGTAGCAAGAGCTTAAAAAACCAAACTTACCACAAGTCATTGGACACGAAAAATCTGATTTTCCTGTCTCCTCTGAAATGCAGCTTCCATTTGCGATCAACCAGTTCATATAAACGTCTGGCATCCTGATTTCCTGCAGAGAAAAGCGATCGTGGTTGAATGGGGAGGAGTTTAGTCTTAAACTGCTACTGACTACGTGGCAAAGGACATTATACAAGATGTCTTAACTTGGAGGTGGAGATGTGATCCAATTGGCGGATGGATAAAACTGCGATTTTTAGTAACTCAAAGACTGATTAATCTTCAGTCGCCTTCATCTAGCATTCGAAGGGGTGTGGAACCCAAGCTAGCACTAGTACAGTGTTCAGCGGAAATACAGAACGAACTGCTTTAGCGCAACGCGGCTGGTTGTCGGTACACCGTGGGCCTCCAAAAGCAGTACGACAGAAGTATTAAAACTTAAAACGTGGAAAAAATTGGGAAATAAAGAGCAGAAAATGGTGATGCTGTGGATGATTTAGAACTGGTTAAGCAGCCAAAAAGGACCAATGACGACGGAGAACAAATAAGACCGAAAAGTATGTGACATCTACGAAGATACGTATAAGGCATGAGAAGTGCCACAATAAGTAAGCTATTCCTATTACCTTAAAAACAAGAACAAAATCGTGAAAACGAGAACTTACTACCTGCTGGTGTCGCCATTGAGAGCAATTTTGAGTGGTTGCTGTATGCAATGCCACAATGGATCGGAACGCTTTTTTATTTGCCCGTAGTTAAGAGCTAAGTCGATATCATCAAATAACCCATTTGAGGGACTGACACCCCGGTGTAGGAGCACCCTCTATCGAACTGGTGTACTGTCTCGGCTAGCAAGCGAATTGTGTGGGCATACTTGAAAGCTCGCCGGAAAACCAATTCCCGAAATGGATGCGGAGACTGACAGTGCTAGAGAGCCCGTCTGCGTGCGTCACATTCACGACCTGACCCCCTCCCCTCCCCCAGACTCACCCACCAGGATTGCCCACACAGTGGGATATAACACTTCGACCCCATATGCCGCAGAGGAGCCCAGCGGAGAAAGGAGCCGAAAGGCACACTTCCCACTTACTTGAAAACAGCAGGTGATGTGGTATGTTTTTGGATGTACACTTTTTACCCATGTGAGCACTGCTTGGTAGGGATACGGGGGTTGGCTACATTGCAAGAGGTGAATCGGCATTGTCAGTTTCCTCGTAGAGAATACTACGCGGCAGTACTGAACAGCCCCCCCCTGTCAGCTGGTAAGAACACACAACTAAGAGAGGAGAGAGACCGGTTTATAAATATATAAACATATTGAGACTGATTTACCACGCCTTCAGCACAAGCACAAGTTAAGGACCCATACATGTGCTTTCCTGACCATTTGTCGTTAACGCCTGTCGGCCGCCTTCTCGCACCGCTTGGGCTTGAAGGGGCACATAGACCGGAGGCAATCATTTGGCGTAAGATAATGAAACTGAAAGACCCTCTGCCACGGCAAAAAACGTCTGAAGTCTTTTATCGAATCCGGTGCAGTTACAGAAAAAGCAACTACGTCGGAAAAACCGGAAGACAGCTCCGTACGCGAATGACCGAATACGCTGCAGCGCTGCGGAGAATGACGCTAGTTCTCAAGTTGCGACTCATTGGACGAAATCCGGCCACACATTCAAATTCGACGAGGCCGAAATTTTCGTAAAAGGTGACAACCGCGTGAGCCAGGAGCTGCTTGAGTATGGTTTTCTGACCCCAGTACATTAACGACCTTTCCCTTCCATACTCTGTGCTGAGATTTCGCCCAGACGGAGTAAGCAGCCACACGGGGAGCGCACAGGTGAACACTGTTCCCAACCCAGGGTCGGTAGGTCAGGTGGTCGGACAATCATCACACCAACATCCAACACCCGTGATGAAATTACAGCAATTAAAGACGCGAATGTCTGTCATCAAACAGTTATTACACCAAGTACAGCTATCCCTGATGAAGGGAAAGAACCGTAAATATTTTAAGTATGCGGTAGCATGGCGACTGCATCCTATAAATACTGCAGCTCCCTATGCACGAGCCATCCGTATTTGCGATTGTCTCTGATGATTGGTTCTAGCGGTAATCCGAAACGTCAGGCGAATAAAGATCTCGGCCCAGCGATCGCGTCACCTTCTTCACGACCGCTTCCTGGGACTCGTCTCTTCGCTTCTACGGATAAGTGCCGAATGAACTGTGCCACTAGACGTACAAAGGCATGTATTGAGAGTCGTCTGAGAGACAAGGTGAAGCTGAATTTCACTCTCATCTTGGCTATCTTTCCTGCCTTTACAGTAACAATTCATGATTATGCATATATGTCTTGTATGGCTGCAGTTATCCAGGTGCGTTTGCGATAACTGTGCACCCCTAAAACGAAATAGTCGGCCAGATGGGTATTTTCAATGGCATCGATCCTGGGGGAAGAGTTTCCTTTAGAAAACCGATTAGAGTTAGCCAGCATCGCGAGGAGGTACTGTCGGAAGGACTCTCGTATCATTGAGTTATCCCATCGGCTGCCAATCCTGTAAGTTCCGGCACTAATGTGTCGTGGTCTTTCTAACGCAGACCATGTATCACAGTAAGGAAATCGCTAAACCGTCACGAGGAAGAACTTCACGGATATGGTCCCACTTCTCTCTCGCTCTCCTGTGCACTAGTGGCTTGTCTAAATATGTCGGCAGAATGATGATGGTATTAAGTTGGAACCGACTGACTTGACGTCAGTCTCCCTCTATCGCATACTTTACACACAAACGGCAATAGTTAAGACTCTTGTAAACTTAGCACAGTTCAACTAGCACAAATTATCAGATACTACATCACCGCTCTCTCTAGCAAAGCGGCTGTGCGGCCGGCTTGGGCGAGTGGGCAGTTACAATGGGTTGGATAGGGGAGGAAGCTTTGCACTGAATGCCAGGGAGTACCCGTTACCGTGTCCATAAGTTACATCTTAGCACCCCTATCCCTAATCCGCCTAACCTTAGACTAACTCCCGCGGATGTTAGCGCAGAGCCACCCGTAGTACAGGGGATTTTACTCCCGTAACGCACCACGTAACACATACACGTGCCCTGACATGACTTGTCGTCTCTATATTGTACATGTCTCTGATTGTCTCTGCAATATTTTGATAGCCCACCGTTTGTTTGATTCTCTTTTCTAACTACTGACGCTAATACCGCATTCAAAGGTCACTTTTTACCAAATATAACGAGTTTTGTGCGCAAACAGATCTGAATTGGTGCATCATGAATTGCTCACCACGCCTGTTCGGGCAAAGGAAACAGTTGACCAATCAGCTGTAGACCAGCTCCTCCTATCCGGTCGCAGGATATGGTCAGGCAGTCGAAGGAATTAATAAATAAGCCTGAAACAACTGTTTTTTTTTCAATTTCTTTCTTACTTCACACATGGTTCCTATCACAGGTCCTAGGAAATTCCGAAGCAGTGTGTAGTCGCTAATTGTTGTTACTGGGACTCCATAGGCCACGGGTTTTCGAGTGCGTCTGCTGTCAAGGGTAATTTTTGTCGTCGACTTGTATCAACAATGATCGTCAGTTTGATCGTCGCGAACGGCAATGGTCACCGTGGATGCAGAATGCAGACCCGTGCAAAAATTGATTTACAGTAGGTGGGCTAACTAATGAAATGTCAAACAAAATTCAGAAATACGTTTTTGCTTCAAAAAGATTAATTGAGTGGAGTTGTAAAACTGGTCAGCCTGCAAGACAGTTCTATAATACTTCAGTTACGTCAGGATGCCGGCTTTCGAAAGAACTTCCTTCCGACTGCATGCAAAAACTACACTTTTAAAATATGACTACTTATGCAGCATGAATTTTTCTTATTGACTTTTGATGTCCCCAAATGTCCAATTATATTTCATGGAAAACATGCATAAAAATATTCATTTTATTGCTCATTCCGTAGACAATTACGTCTTCTTCCAATCTTATATCCGAAAGAAGGTTATAAATCAGTTTTCGAAATATCTAATGATGAGATTTTTGAATACCGTGAGACTGCCGTTCATAAAACGTCATGTTTCAGCCTTTACCAATGTGGCTTGTCAAGTTAACAATGCAGTTCGAATTCACTTCGAAATTTTATGAACCTCATAAGGTCTCCTCTTAATACCGTGGAGAACTCTACGGTTTCCATACAAGAAAAATATACAGTTTGTAGTTTGGAAACCCCGGATCCAAGTGTAATGATAGAGTGGGTTCAAAATTATTCGGAAATTGACAAAGTTTCGAAAACCGAATTATGTCCTCCCTTCAAGTATAAGATTGGAAGAAGACGTAATTGTCTACGGAATCAGCAAATAAATGAATATTTTTATGCATATTTTCCATTAAATAAAATGAAATTAGTAAGGGCATCGAAAACCAATGAAAAAAATTCATGCTATCCGAGTACACATTTTTTACAGAGTGTAATTCTTGCATGCAGTTGGAAATAAGCTCATTCGAAAGCCGGCATCCTGAGGTAAGTGATATATTAGAGAATTTTGTTGCCGGCCGACTAGTTTTACAACCCTACTTCATTACTATTTTCGAATCGAAAACGCATTGCGGAATTTCGGTTGACATTTCATAAGTTAGCCCACCTACTGTATGTTGCTAGCAGATGTGGGCACTATCCGCCGCACTTTCTTCTCTCTCCCTTCCTCTTCGGGGCCCGGTGGCAATAATTAGTCAAGACGACCAGGCCAAACGGTCCGACTACGCGTGCCACACACGGCCTCTTCTGCACACAATGGGCCAGGTTTTCGTAGAAACATGGAGGTAACTTGGATCTCATCTTGGGCGGCAGTGACCAATGTATGTACGTTCAGAGACGTTTGTAACTTTCTTCTCCTGTTATCTTTCCACCATATATTGGTCTACGTGCCTTTCAAATGGATGCTTCTATCAACGAAGACATTCATTAGGGAAAGTACTGTTCGGAAGTGCTGCAGTCGTGACCAAGATTGCCTACACTACATGTTTAAAGTGGAAAAGCATGCGCTACGAAGCTTGGTGTCTTTATCACAACACTAAGAGCAAAGTTTCAATATTTCATAGTTGCATCCTAAAGCTAATACTTAAGAGAAAGCATCTAACAGATGTAAAGAAACTGAGACTAACAGGGCCGACGGGGTGCCTAGGGAATTTGTGTTAAATCAAAGCTTCAAGCGTTTACTAACACATGACCAGAAATGTCGGATATTCAAATTCTAACCTGCGGGGTTTTGGGTGTTAAAATGGTAATGTTGACGGGTCCAGAGGTTGCTGGGAATGCCGGTGGTTCATAATTGCATACTGAAAGGAATTAACAAAGTGACCGTAAGGGACAAGTACAGTGCATGTCTTATCTCAAGAAATGCTGGTCAAAATTCTGAAATTTGTTTTCGAATTGACAAAAAAATTATTTAGGTATTTTTGTAGAGTTAATTAACATACACCACACTTCCAAAACAATGTAGTCACGCCAAGGTGTCGACTTTTGTACAAACATCCTTCTAGCCGCCTGCAGAAACTACGTTTTGCATAAATGACTACTTGAATAACATGACTCTTTCCCATCGACTTCCCATGCCCTTATATATCAAAATGTACTCTGTAGAAAACACGTACAATGACATTCTATACTTCTTTTTAAAGGAGTTTCT